TTTTTTTTTTTTTTTTTTTTTTTTTTTTTTTTTTTTTTTTTTTTTTTTTTTTTTTTTTTGCCATTGGAAATGCGTTCATGAATGATTCTGCTTATCAAACCGAACAAATGCTTCGGTAACATGATTTATATGTGATGAATAAAGTCGAGTCTATCACATTTCACAGTCACATGCTGTAGTTTTTGTCAATTTTATGAAATCTTCATAGATAGATCAGTATGCGTGACAACTGTCCTTTTTTTGGTGTTTGAAGAAGTTACAAATACATTTTGTTGTTTTCGGTGCACCCTTAAGACACAAGTTTGAAAACTTCCTCTCAAATCGATGCTGATTGAAATGGTGGTATAGGGAGTCTTTAATAGAACGTCCTGTGGCTCTTCGTAAAAGAACATTTGATTAGAATGTCATGAGAACAAACGTAGTCTTCTTTTCTATGGATTTTCAAGTTTTATATTAAGGAACTTCCCATCTTTCAACTTTGCTTCCTTAGATGAAAGTCTTGGTCTGTATCTGATTGAAGTTTCGTGTTGGATTTGGGCAGGTTATCTACTGCACAAGTTTGAGCTGGAGTGCAGATGGGAGCACATTGTTTAGTGGCTATACAGACGGAGTGATTAGAGTTTGGGGCATTGGTCGCTACTAGAAATATCGATTATATTATTTCCAGACGCTCTTTTTTTGCTTCTATTCTGAGAAAAACTTGTCAGACCTTGATTACAAGTACTGGTCTTTAGAATTTTCTTTAGAGTTTTGCTGGCAGAATCATTTGGTTTTTAATTTAATGTTGAAGATGACTTTGAGTTGAGGTCAACAATGTTTTTTCTTTGAGATATGCCAAACCCAGTTAACAGTTTTTTTTTTCAATATTTCCTTGAAGAAGCATTTTAGTTCCATCTATAAAGTTTTGATGGTGCTGCATTATCATCTCTGAGTTATATTATATTAGTTCTTGAAGCAATTGACATTGATGTTTGTTGAATTAAGGGTTCCGAAGTTTCGTATAAATGTCTATTGCTTAGCCGAAAGCCATAAATGGTGGCTGCGCTGTACCTTAAACTTCTGGCCTTCAAGGTGTATTTTTATTAATACTTTGTAGAAAAAAACCATCTGTAAGGCCGACTGTTCTTCTCCAAGAAATCAATCTGCCTTGGTTGAGGGCATGGCTGGACGAAACTAATGTTGTGCTCTGGTTTGCGTGAAATCAGGTCTTTCTATAATTTATGTTTGTATAAAAACACTTGATGCTCGTAACTTTTTATAGGTTCCAAATTGTATTTTGGTTTTTGATGTTTTCTGCAATGGTTTGTTTTGTTGAAATGCATATATATACATATGTGTGAAGTGAGCATTGAAAGGTGTATGAAAAAGGAAAGGTAAATACAGAAAGAAAATAATAAAAAGGTATACGCATTCCTAACTTTAAAACTAGCTTCCCAGTAGGAGACTGCACGATGTTCGGTCCGGTTTTGACAAAAGCCGGTGACCCAACCGAACCCGTCGCTTCTGAAATTAAGATTAGTTGTGTTTTTTAATAGTGTATTTATTTTAATCTTTGCACAACAAAAATCTCTGATTTCTTTTTTCATTATCAAAATTTCAAGGTTTTAAACTTTAATTTTAATGTTAAAATTATTTTGGACCGCCAAATTTTCCCTCAAATTTTCATTACGTAACTATTTCTCTATGTTCTCTCATTTGGATTGTTGGTACGGCGATGTATGCTCAAGCCTTAAAGGCCCGTTTCTTAGAAAACGGGGATAGAGAAAGTTGAGCATGTTTAGAAATCGATTTTATAGGCTAAATGCAAATAAGCAACAACCATAACTTTTGATAGATATAACTCGAGTATAAAGAATTGACGACTAATCACATACTCAATAGTACATTTTAGAACATTTTAGTCCGGGTAAATGTAGACATAATTTTGACAATCGGTCATATACTCCCATATTTGTAAAACAAGAAATAGTAAATAACTAACATAAAAGTAAGTAAAAGGGTTTGGAATGAACAAACGGTCATGAGCAACACACTCTGGACTAGCATTGACCGGAACATCCAACACATAGTCACAAACAACATGTCTCGGACAAACATAATATTTGTTTGGTAATCAATTCTACTCACAATCTTGAAGAGTTAGTTTGATAATGTTTTTCTTGAAAACTGATGGCAGTAACAAATCAATTCATGTCACAGAAACAAAGTAAATCTTATCCAACACCAATTCATCCTCCAGATCATCCCACGTGATTGCATTATTTGACCAAGCAGTTGAACATTTAGTAACGAATTACAAATAGGTTAATGAACTAAGTATACCAAAAAGAATATTTAAATGAATACAGCTTCATATTTATTTATACACTTCAGCACTTGGCAGAATAAACAACCCCCCTTCCACTACCATCATTAACAGCGGCCAGAAGAAAATGGAATCAAAAATCTTGGCTGAAAACCAAAAAGTTCCATCAAACATTAGCCATTGCAGCTGACTCAAATTCTTCGCTGCTATCATACCTCATAATCATCATTGAAACTGTACAAAAAATCAATTTTGAAGACCAACAACGAGAAAGCAAAACCAATTTCAAGCTGCAACGAGCTCAAAGCATCATCATTCTATCAAGATAACCGGGTGCGCCTCAATGACCAAAAAAAACAAGAGAAGCAGGCTCTTAAAATCCAGCATTCTAGTCCACTAAATGAAAGAAACTTAAAAGCTCAAAAAAACAAAACCCAGCAATTCAAAATATTCACCTGGACATCTCTTTATCCAGCAGATATCACTGAGGATCTAATTTCCAAACACGAACACAAGCGTCCTCACCAGAGCTCACCACGCTGTAATCATCCGTGAATGCCAGTCCGTACACCCCACCCAAATGAGCTCCCTTTACTGTTAGACGGCTGGATGCTGGCTTGTCAACTTCATAAATGATGACACATGTATCTAATGAACCAGTCGCAACCTTTGTGTTATCAGGAGACCAGTCGAGGCAATTTATACGAGCAGTGTGAAACAACATGTTCTTAAGTTTCACCTGCAGGCAATAATTAGAACACAAATCCTGGTATAAGAAAAAACCCACATCTCATCTACTCTTCCATTCAACTCCCCAGACTTTCAAAACAATTTCAATCCAGAAGTAAAAAGCAAAGTACTTTAGGAAGTTGATAAGCTACCTCTCGGGTTGCACGATCCCAAACAATAGCTTCTCGGTTGAGATCTCCTGATGCAAACATTGTAAGATCCGGGGAGTAGCGTATCACACTAATAGCTCCTCTGTGTTTCTCAATTGTTGCTTCTTCAGTGAGGGAGTCGTCTGCGACGGAATAAATGTGTAATTTACCATCTTGCCCACCTACAATAACCTCACTTCCATCAGGCGCAAGTACTGATGCTGTCACGGTAAACCCAAGGTTGATGGTTGACACTATATTTGAGCCACGCAGTAAGACAACTCCAGTATCAATTGAAACCAAAGCAAGTTCAGGAGAAACAGCAGCAAGAGTCAAATCCTTTGGTTGACTCCCAACATCAATAGCCTCTGCCTCCCCACACTGACCATCCTTGATGGAAACTCTCCATACCTGGAAGTTTGAAAGAGAGAAAAAAGAACAGCAAGTACAGGCCTTTATTCAATAAGGAAGAAACAAAAAGATAGAAGTTAAAACGCCTTCTTTTACAAGAGTTTCTACCATTTCTAAGATGGGAAGAAGGAAAGAAAGAAAAAAGGGAAAATTGGCAGACACATTATGTATTGCTCAACTTAACGTAATCACTCACCTTATTGTCAAAACCGGACGTAACAAGTTCATCTTCAAGAGCTGCAAGACATTTGATTTGAGAATTTTCTTTTCTTTGCAACTTGCCACTGTATCCAATACCTTGAATCCATTTAATGATCCGGCCATCGTAGCTAGTTGATAATATCACTTTAGGGTCACTTTTAAGAACAACTAATGAAGTAACATTTTTCATATGTCCAAATAAGATGACAGGGGATTTATCTAGATCACTGGCTGAAAACAAACTAATAGTTCCACCAAGAGAAACTGTGACAAGATGTTGATTCTGCCATAAACACCCAACTAGCATATCATCAACCCCACCCGAGCAATGAGAAGTCAAGGTTTTCTCTAACGTCCCATTACCCTCATCAGATATCCCCCAGACTTTTGCTGTCTTGTCGGCAGAGACAGTCAACACCTAAATATACGATCACAACTAAACATCAGAAAATATAAGTGACTAAAAAGCAAAGCAAGGCTGCAAGAAAGAGCATAACATAATATACTGTGTATCACAAAATAACTGACACAAAAGAGAGAAATCTCAAATCTGAAGTTGTCTCGTTAAGAAAATATCTCTTCCGATTGCAAATGTCAGACAGTGGCAAAAGGCATTAATTTATTTTCCAACAAAGTATTATCCAAATTATCAATATCATTTACAATATACAAGAATATGTACCACATTAGTGTACAACATGAGACAGAAATCTGCATGAATCGATTAATTTAACTAATAAGATGAAGATTATCAAGTCAAGTAATATTACCTTCTAAATGACTCTTAGTTGAAATAGACAAACTTAATAGCCATGGGTGCAGAAATGAACATCAGTCTCAATCAAACAGACCACAAGAGGTTGACCTAATAGTCAATAAAGGCCAATGTAAATGGCTAAGAGGCACCAGGTTTAAGTCATGGTGACTACCTGCTTAAAATTCAATATCCTAGAAGTTTTCTTGACAACTAAATATTGAGGTGCACATGTGCTAGCTTAGTCACAATGAAATTAAAAAGAATATAAATATCTCAATGCAATTGGAAGCACCATTTTCAGCACATGTTCAAATTTATCAGATATGACTGACTTATTTGATAGTCTAATGATAAGAAATTGGTGTAGTTTCGGATCTTGAGGTAGTCAGGTGAAGTTCCATGTACACAAACTAATATCCACAGGAAATAGTGTAAGGAACACTTGGCCAAAAAAAGAGCTTGCTCTACGTTTTTTTTTAATAGTTATGTAAACAAAATGTACTCTCCTTCACAATGAGGCGTCCTTAAGAACGTACCATGACAAAATACTTTAAATTGAAACGGTGTCCATGTCATAAGCAGAACAAGTTTGTCTTCCATTGCACGCTCAACCTAACAACAATGCGGTAACCAACTGTTGAGGATTATTGGGAGTTGAGTCCCATATTGGTTAATTTAGTGGAAGATCATGAGTTTATAAATGAGGAATACTATTTCCATTGGGATGAGGCCTTTTGGGGAAGCCCAAAGTAAAGCCATGAGAGCTTATGCTCAAAGTAGACAATATCATACCATCGTGGAGAGTCGTAATTTCTAACACCAACCTCCTCTTAAAATCAACAAAAGGCATAATGCAGTACCAACCTCCACTTAAAAGCAACAGTGGGAAGAAAATAAAAAAGAAACTTAAAGCATTAGTATATGCACTGGTAAAATACCTCCAATAAGAACATAAGCCTGGCAGTTAAGAGAGAAACTAATCATACATTCATGTTCATCAAAGTATGAGACAAAGATGCATAAATTAATTCAAAATATATAAAAATAATAAATATTCAAAGTTCTTTGCGTTCTTAAAATTCCAAAGGGAACTACAAAACTGAAATAAATATTCAATGACAAAAATGATAGGAAAAAATTATGTCGAAAACATGAATAAGGTTATATCCAAAGAGATGTCCGTAGGTGCGAAGGGGCAAGGAAGGCTTCCCTCCCATCCTCACCACCTATTGCAATTCCCATCTTCACAAAAAATTTCATTTATTTTTCCGGGGATTGAATTCCTCATGATTTTTTTTTTTTTTTTTCCGTTTAACCATAATAAAATTTCTTTATGAAAATTTTTCTGAAGGCAAAAGTCATAATATAACTAATTAAAGAAAAAAATTATAAAATATCCTAAAAAAACAATAATATTCTATAAGTAAGATATTATTAAATTTTCAACCAACATAATTTCTAAAAATTCAAATCTCAATATTACAAGAACTTATTACTATAATAATAATAAATAATGGTAGGTTGAGGATGGAGAGCAGAAATATAATCCCCATCCCCATTCCCGTTTAGCTAACGGGAAGAAAATTACCCCGCTCCCTCCCCTATTCCTCATGTGAATGGAGATTTTTCACCTATTTGGGTGAGTATGTGTGGTTTAAATGGATATCTCCAACTCCTTTAATTAATCAAAGATTTGGTATTGTGCAGTTCCATTTCAAAGTCTGGTAATTTCAATTTACTTTCAACTTCACTAGAATTTCAAGAAAGATCAAGGATTTCCCCAGTTATACTATGAAGGTTAGAAACTGTCTTTCATACAATTTGAGGATTTATCAAATATTATACTCATCCAATGAGCACAAAATCAAAAGAAAAAATCTATACCAACCTGTTTCCCATCCGGACTCCAGCTGACAGCATAAATACTTCCTTTATGCCCATCATCGGAAGAAAGTTCTCCAATCTTATCCGCAGTCTTCGCATCATATAATATACCCTTCTTGTCAGAGCTCACACTAATGAACTTGCTGCCATCTGGAGAGAACCTTATACAGTTGACAAAATTTGAATGGTCCCTGAAGGTAAACATGCCAAGGGTTTTCATAAAGGGCTTTAAAAATGGATTTAAAACATGACATGAATTTTGAAGTTATAATAATAAAACCTTAAGAAGAATAAATTTATCACCTTACAAAGTAAATAAAAATCAACTAAGAATAAAGTAAACAATATGCGTATTGGTCCAGTAGCGGGTGTGGAGAAAGTTGAGAGCATGTCTTGTAGGATTGGCCAGAATGCTTTAAACTAATCTCAACACCCACGACAGGGAAAAGTATCATTAATGCAGTTTTTTTGTGTTCAGCTTCAATTTATTTTAGCTCCTCGCAGTTTAAACTTGACTTATAATATATTAACACTGCAAAACTGCAGAGAAGAAAAGGAAAAAGTATATATCAAGCACAACTCTAGAGACAAGCAAAAAATTTTCATGCTTCAGATGACTATTGCTAGCATCACGCTCTGAAAGTGACAGATGCAATGGGAGTTCAGCATGGTGTCTTCTATCAATATGGAGGAAAAATACACAAGGCAAGCATTTCATAAGAAAGAACAATTAACAAACCTAAGAGATTGCTTAAATCTAAACGGCGGTCCTTCATAAAAATTTACTAGGAAATCCTCTCCGCAGGTGGCAATGCGAAAGGGTCTTGTTGGCTTAAATGCACAGCTTAAAACACGCCTAGAATGACCATCAAACTCGCCAACATTCGAGCCCGAATCCCACCTGATCACGATGTTATTCATAAAAGTTAGGCAAAAAGAAAAGAAAAATGAATGAATGAATGAGAACGAAGGCAATAATAAACATTTTCCCCGCAAGCTTTTCATTTTCTACAATTAATGAAACCTAACATAATATCAGGCATTCACTCCGTGGGCCAATAGAAAAAGGAGAAGAATATCATGCATGCATCAACATCCACAAACAAAATTAGTAGACTGATGAATGAGGAGATTCTAAATTCATGGAAACCTCCCGATTCCTCAAGAAAAGAACGGGGAATGCGTGTACCAATTCGTTTCAATGAAAAATGAACACTGAATGGCAGAAAAGCATCTGAAGCATGACTCAAACTTGCATCCTAGTTATCCAAAAGCAATTTTAGGAACCTTCCCGTCCCCAAATTTAATGAGTACAATAAGTCGATCAATTATCACTCATCAACGCGATGACACACCAGAATTCATTTGTTTCCATCAATTGTTATCTTCCTGCACATTCACATCAACCAACCAGAAAACCAAATACAAAATAGGGAAACAAACTCACATAAAAGCACGCACGAACGATTTCCCCTTTCCCTCACCACAAGCCACAATCCTCATTCCATCAGGAGACCATTGCAAATCATCGATCCGCCCAGACAAAACCTTATACTCGTTCTTGAGCACAAACCCACTATGAGTGCCCCAAAGCCTCATAACCCCGGACACATCAGCAGACGCAATCCACTCCCCATTCGGCGAGTACCTGGCGACCGTAGCCGGATACCCGTGCTCGGCATAGACAGAGACCTCGAGCGGGTTGTCAAGATTGAGCATCATGACGGATCGACCATTGGTGTAGAGAACAGAGTTGGTTTTAGGGTGGCCGGAGATCAAAATTCCTCGGCCTCGCTCGGTGGATGGCATGCATGCGTAAGTCTCAGAAAGCTCCGGTGTCGCCATGGTAAGAGAGATGAAGAAGAAGAAGAAGAAGAAGAAGAATAAGAAGAAAATGTGATGAAAATGGCGAAAAGGAAGATCAATTTGAAGGTGGTTGCATCTGGAACTGTGACCGTGAAGCTCACGAAGAGGACGATAACGGTAATGAAAGAGAGCTCTTACAGAATTGCCGGGAAAGGCGAGAGAGTCGCCGCGTTTTTTTTTTACTTTTTTTCATTTTAAATTTTGGGAAATACGTGGCAGTGTTTAATTGGTAGCATACTGGATGTTCTATGTCTTTGTTTAACCGGTCAATTTTACTGTTTTAAGCTCCATTATAAAAAAAATATTCACATAACTATTAATAATATCCCAAAATATTAAAATATTTAATAAATACTCCCCATCCTTTAAAAACCTTTAAAAATACCAAATTTTTTTTTAGTTTTTTTAATTATATTAAAATTATGTCTCATAATACTCTTAGCCTTTAATAAATAATTTTATTGACAATTGTTTAATTAATCGACACACCGTCACAAGTGAACTTGAAATTTGAAGTCAAGTGTCTTCGCTAGCACATTGTCTTATGGCTACTGCCCAAATCAAGTCTCCTACTAGCAGATATTGCCTCACGATTTTAAGACTCGTCAAATGTTGTGTTCCCCTCTCCAACCGATATGGAATCTCACAATTTGTATCAATATTATTAATGAAACACGGGTCCTTTGTTAATTATACTAACTACCCGGACTAAATAGAAACAAAATTCATACAAAACCATTCAAACTTCAGAAATGTAATAATAAAATATTGTTTTTATGTTGTAGAGAGACCAGAGAGAAAAAATAAGCCCTGAAAATATGCATGCTATCTTATCTTCATCTGTATAATGCCACCAAACAAAAGCCAGAAAATAATAGAACAATGGCCATCAAAGACAAAACAAATAGGCCCTCTCTGCACATGCAAATTTTCAAAAAATTTCACAAAAACCCCAATTTCAAGGACCTAGCAGCAATGAAAGTTACCCGGAGGGCATATCAGAAAAGAATTTGGCATTTTCCAATCAACACAGAGAACAAAGATCATTTCTGAACCCTTATGAATACAAAACAACAATCACAATGCACAAAAAAAAGGCAAAAAAGAAAAGGTCACAGTTACAAATATCTAAGTGAAATCACTTCTAACCTCATCGTGTAGATACCAACATGATCATATTGTACAACAAACCAGCCCAAACCAGGCCAAGATTCAGTGATGCCTGAATTGGAGTGGACACAGAACTGCCTGAGATCTCGGCCGAATCGACAGCCAGAGGCATTCCGTCGCTGTTGAGAGTACACGACTTAGGATCCGACCCGTCTTTGCTCATCATTTTAGCGCGAAGCACCGACGTAATGGTGTGGATATACCCCGTTCGGTTCTTGGCAAGAAGCCATGTTAGACCCATCAGCTGACACTCCTTGTGGTGCATCTTGGTGGTCCTGTTCTCTGGCTTGCTTGAATTCAAAGTTTCTTTGTTGTTGAGCTGCATTATGTTAGTGTCTCAATATCCAAATACATAATCATAGAAGTTTGGTGCATTAGTTCATTGTATTTCTATCAGTTGGAGCTGAATCTAATGAAACAACAATGATCTAGCTTCAAAACAACGTGAAGCAACTAAATGAGTTCAAAAATCAAGAACATCAAATGAATTCTCTTGTTCAATGATATGATCTGCAGATTTCACCACTCAAACAGAGAATGCCATATGTCATATAGGCTTGATTCTTATCAAGATCACGTGAGTTTGTCATGTTCTTCAGTAGAGTCACTACCAAGTGGCCCATTTCCAGTTATGATTTGATTTTTGTTATCCCTTTCAGATTATCCGTTCAATTTGAAACAAACCCAGCAAATTTCTCATCAAGATCAATGCAAAAGGTTAAGCAGATTATCAATCAGTTAATGACACTTAAAACTCAAACAAGCTCCAGTTCAATGAGAAAATTGCTCACCTGATAAAGGCTTTTCAAGCATTTTGAACAGCCACCAAGCCCTGGAAATCCATTGACATTACCGCTGCTCAAGCAATTTCTCTCCAATCTCTTCACATTTCTATCTCCTTCAAGAATCCCATTCTGGTTCACTGAAAACGCTTCAGGGCAGCTCAAAGGGTGTAATCTTATGCCGCAATAGCAATAAACCACATCACAAGTCTCATTAGGTTTCATTAGCTCGATTCCCCTTTGATTCAACGCTTGATCCAAGTTACTGACGCAAGTTTCGGAGTCATCCGGTAGAAGCGGCAGGTCATACGACGGCGCTGTGTGGCCAGCAGCTGCGCCGGGTCGTCCAGCTCTCTGCAATGCGGTAGCGGAGTAAGCAGCGTAGAGCCAAGCGGCCAAGACCGGACAGCAACGGCTGCGATGGAGCTCCCCGGAGACACCCCCTTTAGAAGGACCACAAGCAGTCTTAACCCCATGGAAGAGCTCATCAGGGAGGTCTAACGGGCAGCCCTGAACGTCGGATTGTTCAGGGAAGGCCGGAATAGTGGCTGGCGGCGACTGGTTGACCTGAAATGGACGGATTGTAAGTGGGTCTGGATGGGGAAGAGAGAAAAACGAGGGAAAAAGAGAGAAACCGAGGGAGAAGAGCAAAAAGATTCGTGGGATTGAAGACATTGGCGAAGAGAATGCGATTTAGGTAAAGAAATTGGGGAAGAATGAGTGAAGTCTAGCAATGGCGGAGGAATGGAGGGAAGATCGATTACTGGGTTAACGAAAAAGGAAGCAAAGGGAAGAAGAAGAAGAAGAAGAAAGCAGGGGGCGCAGAAAAGAAAAGGCGAAATGGAGGCTGACAGAGTTAGCGGCAATGAGAGAATTGGATACCAATTGCTTAATCCCTTTCTGTATCTCTTATAGTTTGAGATATAATTGATTGAGAGGCTAAGTCGTTTAGGGATAATTAAACAACCGAACTAAAGTGAAGACTTTTTTAAGTGTTTCTTTGACCACTAAAAAGCAAAAAAAATATATACATATATATATATATATATATCTGTCATGTATCAACCCAAGAAAGTAAGAAAAAACAACAAAAGCAAAAGGGCATCTCGGGTCGGGTTTTAGACATGTCTCTTCTACCACTAGTTTAGACGATGTATTAATATGATATTGTCCGTATTTAATTTTACAATTTTTTGAACTAGTTCAGTTGTGTCATCTCTAACAGGTATTAAACTCGATAGGGGATGAGATTCAGCTAGCACTAAAGCTTTAGTCTTAACGTCTTGACTACTATTGTGCATCGTTTCCTCAAGTTTCTCGTTTACCAACAATGGAGGAGCCGTCCCTAGCCCACGGGTCATAACGCACTCTTCCCACAACAAATCCACTTTAAAGTTGATTGATTCACTTAACCAATCGTTAGAATGTGTACGAAATACCATATGAGCCTATATATCTCTATAACACTTTTTGTCTAAATATTCAAATGAGACTGATTATCTAAAACGCACTAAAAAGTCATTCAAAACTTGATCTAAGAACGAAAGTTGGTTTGAACCATTATATATAAAAAAAAAATTAATTTAACTATTTCACCTTTTAAATTATATAAATTATTTTAACACTAGGAACTTTATAATTACTAATTATAATGTAATTTTATTTTTGGTTGCTCGCGTGGTAGTAAATGATGTCATACACAAATGGTGACATGGAAATACTTAACATTTATTACATATTTATAATACAATTTAATATTGTCACATGTTTTGTCAGTAATTAATAAATTTTGAAGTCATAAATTATCAAATTTAATTCCAATAATTATTTTTTTAATATATTCCAAAACATTTTGACCGTTCGATTGAATTTATCGATCACCGTTATAACTGAAAAAAATGGTAAATATTACATTTTTTTTTATATTAATTTTAAGGTATGGAATTGTTTTTAATAAATGAAGTAAAAAAAAAAGTAATTAGAATTGCGTGCATGATTTGCGGCTGAATATTAAAGCAATGAAAGCAACATCTCATTATTTCACTTCACATTCCCTTTAAATTCCCACCCACCATGAAAGCTCCATCTTTTTTTCCTTTTTTTTTTTTTTTTTTTTTTTTTTTTTTTTTTTTTTTTTTTTTTTTTTTTTTTTTTTTTTTTTTTTTTTTTTTTTTTTTTTTTTTTTTTTTTTTTTTTTTTTTTTTTTTTTTTTTTTTTTTTTTTTTTTTTTTTTTTTTTTTTTTTTTTTTTTTTTTTTTTTTTTTTTTTTTTTTTTTTTTTTTTTTTTTTTTTTTTTTTTTTTTTTTTTTTTTTTTTTGGGGCTTAAATCATATTGATTGCCCAAACCCCCAAATTATCCCATCTTTGATTGAAAAATCATAATCATAATATTCATTTTCCCCCCTTTTTCTTTTTGGATAAAGCTATAAATGGTAATTTTACCCCAACATAAATCTTTTACCGTTGGTAAATCAATTTAAGCTGAAACCTTTTTAACACTTCACTCGTGCTAAAATCAATATTCCAATTTTTTTAATTAATTTTTTTAAATATATATATATATATAATCTACCCTTACTATTCTTTTTTTATAAATAATTATTTAATATAGTTGGACTTCATATCCTTTATAATATCAATAGTATTAGTTTAGGCGTTAGAGTTTGTGGCTAGATTTGAGTATTTCATGATTGAGTTAAAAGCGTTTATGTAACTTATTTTTTATTATATTATATTTTAGCTAAATTAATAAAAATATCCTTAATTTTTTTAATATTTTAATAAAAAATATTCAAAGAAAAGATAAAAATTTATAAATTTTTACTGTGAATAGGGACGAAAACCATCCCTTAGACATTTATATTACTATATAATAAACAAAACACATTTGTGGAAGAAGATAACAAAATAATATTTGTAAAACTGATTATTTTAGAAAAGTAAATTCAAAGAAATGAAAACAAACTCATTGGATTGAAAATGAAGGTAAAAGTAACATATTTTTTTACCATTTTGGTATTTACCAAGCACGCCTCAGCGGTAAAAGGCTGCCTGCAACAGCACTACAGCAGAAAAAACACAGTAAAACACAAAATAAGAATAAACAGTTAGGGTTTAGACTGTGGAAAAGTAAAAGTTGCAGTTCAGAGGTAGAAGAAAGTCTACAACACTTTATTGGCAAAAGAGAACCCTTTCTGCCTTCCTCTTCCTCCACTACATATTTATTATTATTATTATTTAAATGTTAATAAATAAATAAATAAATAAATAAAAAGGCTGCTTTTTTATTCTTATTATTTTTTAATTTAAAAAACCATGATGGTAAAAATGAGGAAAAAAAAAAAAAGAAAAAAAGGTTTGAAATAGAGAAAAGGAAGATGGATTTGGTCCACCATTATCCTTATTTATCATTGCTATAGGGACTTTGGTTTGCTCCCACATTTGTCTCGACTAGTTGAATAGTATAACAATCTTTAGTTGGTTCGGATCGTTCCAAACTAAAATAAATAAATAAAATGGAATAAAGGAGGTAAAAATGTAACTTTATGTAAAGAAAAAAGAGAGCTTTCCTTATGCATTACATTTAACCTATGATTCTTGCTTTAATTTTCAATGATATTAGTTTGATGGCTGTCATATTTTTATATTAATTTGGAGGTATGGTGGAGAATAATTTTTATTTCTTCAATAAGTAATAACTTGGGCCAAGATTTTAGTGAATCTAATGAGTGTCAGACCTTAGTCTTACTTGGGGGCATGTGACTCTTGGAAATCTCATATTTTTATGTTATTTATTGAATATATAATCATATGTTATAACCCAATAATACCACCCTCAACCATATATGTATAATATTCCAAGTATCTAATAAGGTACGTACTTTATATTTATATTAATTATGTTATTTTTTATTCTATATTAAATTAAATATTTCTCCAAATAATATTGTACGAGTTTGTCTCCTTTATAGGATTAATGATACTATTTTTAAAAAACATGATTATATTATTATCATGTGATAGTCTACTTCTCATTTTAGTATGAGGATAGAAAATTTATTATTCTATGTTCAAATTATATACGTCGTAGATATCTCGAGATTCGAAAAATGTGTGGTAAATCGCCATAAATTTAATTTCTTGGTAACTTTCTTAAGACAAAAAAGGGATTATATCGTTTGTTGGGATGAGTTGAAATCGAAATAAGCTAATTCGTTCTGTTATTAGAATTGGAAAGATAATTTGTTGGAATGGCCACAAGAGGGTAAGCTTACAGAAACAGTATGAAACAAAACGTAAAAGTTCTTGTGAAATTACATATGTAATAACTTGGAACGACGTAGTTTTAAGTCTTTGACATGGCTCTACCTGCCGCCGTTCAAGAGTATAATTCCGCCGGAAGAGTGCTGTTGGTGATCAAGTTCTGTGGCGTTCCATACAGATCAGAAACATCAAGGTGGTGGTGGTGGCTTCGCCCATTTTGGCCGTAGTGTTGACTATGCATGGTGGCTGTCACTTCGTCGTCGTCAGATGGCAGGCGGTCAAATGTCGCGTTCATGAACGTCGCTGCCATGATCACAACGGGGCCGGAGGCAATGAGCGCGCCCACCACGACCCCACCTACCACCTGCCCTTGTGCGCCGGCCAAGTAAATTGTCAGACCGGTGATCCCCAACGGTGCTGGCGGTGGCAAGATCGATCCCAATAATGAAACGATCTCAAAGCTGTTAAAAACAAGATTAATTTATTTCTAATCAATCCATTTAAATTAATCTTTTAAGTTAATTTTGAGTTTAGTGTATGGTTAGAAATCACGACTCTACAAAATGATATGATATTGTCCACTTTGAGCTTGAGCTCTCGTGACCATGTATTATTTACAAACTCATGATCATTCCCTAAATTAGCTCACAACTAATAATTTAAAATTTACCGGCCATGAAGAGTGACAATGGTTCCCGAAGAAGCAGCTTGACGAAGTGTGACATTAACGACACAACCACTTCCACTAAGAATACAAACGCCACGCTGCTTCCTTCGAGCAAAGCTAGAGAGACTCTCATTAACATCGCAGCCAGAGCTAACCTCAATGGCATGAGCCCGGAGAGCATTAGCGCTATCTCGGGTAACAATAATGGGGGGTTTCGGCTTGTTCTTGGACCCAGCGGGGCGCCCGCGAGGTCGACGGAGAGCTTGATCGCTCTCCGCTGCCACCGAGATGGGCGGCACAGCCTTGGGAGAAAGAAGAGAAGAAGGATCAAAGCAAGGTCTTTGTTGGTGATTGGCATTATTGCCACATTTTTCAGGTTCGTGAACACCCATATCTTGATCACTTCCAGCCATTGCATGAACCTTTAAGAACATCCAATCTTTTTTTTTTGTTGAGTAAAGGGATCCCATGAACATATATGAAGGAAATTAGCAGAAAAAATAGTTCAAGGTTAGGAGGAGATTAAGTGAAACTAAACATAAAAAAACAATGTTAAGTTGTCTGAAGTATGCTTTGGTTTTCACTGCCTACCTCCCAACAGACTTTGTTCTTCATGTTAATTGTCTTACCTCCAAATATATTCATTTTCTAATCTACAACCCCAACCATATTGCCTCTTTTCAACCAAAATCTAAATTGATACTCAAAAGATAAGTTCAGCACGATAGATATCTTTACAGGACCAATGTGTTTGAGACTTGATTAAGAATCCTTGTCTCTCCTAGGTTGGAACCAACGTTACACCTGAAATTCGTCTTGTAGCAATATATGTCATACCTATATCTTGATGGTCTATAACTTATAGCTCAGTTGGGTTCAGTACTTGTTCAGACTAAAGTTAGTATAGAAAAAATCTCATTTCTAAATTTTTGGAATAGATCTCTCCACTTGCACCCTTGTTACATGGGCTAGTTTTGGTGCTATATGTCATGGTCATGCTTGTATAGGGCGTGTCGCGACTTCAAAATATACTAGAGAACCAAATAGTTATCAAACCTCCTTGACCAAATATTGTAATCGTTCTTGCCTATATATTTTTAATACAACTGACTTTCACAATATATTTTTTTAACTTGTTTGTAGTGATTTTTCTTACCCACATTTTTTACAACATTTTCTCTTAAAACGTGATTAGAGGCTTGACCATACGTCTTATTTATCTGCAAATTACGATTTGTTCATTGAATTAGAACAAAGTGTTGCACAATAATTATTTCGATCCTTAATGTGATACTAGACCTTTTGAAAATTTAAATTGGGAAAATTTGATTTATATTAATTAAAGAAAATATTTTAATCAATAATAATGAAGCAAATAGAAAGGGGCCTTTAGGTAAATTCACCTAATGTTATATTGCAGTCGAACAATTGAACTGAATCATTAGAAGCGTAATCAGCCGTCGAGCTAATGCAAGCGCGCGGGAATTGTCGTCTCAGCCTGCTTCGCGGCAGCTCTTCCCGATTGATTCAAACTGAATCCATCATCAACGAGCTTCGAGCCTGTTCAAATCCTTCTCCTTCGAAGAAAACATTGACCCAAAAACGCGAATCCAAAAACACCAACCCCGCAATTACCGATTCCGATATAGTAAAATGGAACAGGAAAATCACCGCCTACATGCGCAGTGGTCAATGCGAGTCCGCTTTAGGCGTTTTCAATGGCATGCCCCGTCGGAATACTGTCACCTACAACGCAATGATATCGGGTTATTTGAATAACAACAAGTTCGATCGTGCACGGTGGGTGTTTGAGAAAATGCCCCACAGAGATTTGATATCTTGGAATGTGATGCTTAGTGGGTATGTGAAGAATGGTAATCTTAGTGCGGCTCGGACTTTGTTTAATCAGATGCCTGAGAAGGATGTTGTTTCTTGGAATGCTATGTTGTCTGGGTATGCTCAGAATGGGTATGTGGAGGAGGCTAGGAAATTATTTGATGAAATGTCGGATAAGAATGAGATTTCATGGAATGGGTTGCTGGCGGCGTATGTTCAGAATGGGAGGATTGAGGAAGCTAGAAGGTTGTTTGATTCCAAAATGGATTGGGAGATTGTTTCTTGGAATTGTTTGATGGGTGGGTATGTGAGGAAAAAGAGGCTCGACGATGCGAGGATTCTTTTTGACCGTATGCCAGTTAGAGATAATATCTCTTGGAACATAATGATTACAGGTTATGCTCAGAATGGGCTGCTGTCAGAAGCTGGGAGATTATTTGAAGAGCTACCAATTAAAGATGTGTTTGCTTGGACGGCCATGGTATCTGGTTATGTGCAGAACGGAATGTTGGATGAAGCAAAGAGAATTTTTGAAGAAATGCCTGAAAAGAATGAAGTTTCATGGAATGCGATGATTGCAGGGTATGTGCAGAACCAGCAAATAGACAAGGCAAGGGAATTGTTTGATCAAATGCCTTCACGGAACATTAGTTCTTGGAATACTATGGTAACCGGGTATGCTCAGAGTGGCAATATTGATCAAGCCAGGATTCTGTTTGATGAGATGCCTCAACGTGACTGTATATCATGGGCAGCTATGATCGCCGGTTATGCCCAAAGCAGCCAGAGTGAAGAGGCCTTGCAGCTCTTTATTATGATGAAAAGAAATGGAGAAAGGTTAAATAGATCTGCGTTGACATGTGCGTTGATCTCGTGTGCAGAGATTGCGGCTTTCGAGTTAGGGAAACAGCTTCATGGACGGCTAATTAAGGCAGGATTCCAAACTGGGTATTATGTGGGAAATGCTCTTTTAGCCATGTATTGCAAATGTGGAAGTATAGAAGAGGCATTTGATATTTTTGAAGATATAACAGATAAGGATATTGTTTCCTGGAACACACTGATTGCAGGTTATGCTAGGCATGGATTTGGTAAAGAGGCTTTAGCTGTCTTTGAGACAATGAAGATGACAGTCAAGCCTGATGAAGTCACGCTGGTATGGAACTTCTCTAAAACTTCTATAAGTTTAATTTGATCTTCATGTTGTATGAATTAGAGCCACACTTAGCATGAATTTATTAATTTATTTTTGGGTATGAAAACAGAAAATAGGAATTAAAAAGGAACATAATAGGCATGCACGTAGCAATTTAGGTTAGGAATTTTTTAGAGGCTCTTGAAAGGTTGTGATTACCGATAAAATTTGACTTTGAAAGCTAAAGGCAGAAACTAAGTCAGGTCTAAGTGCAGCAACCTTTGAGATGATATGATATTGTCCACTTTGAGCATAACATCTCATGGCTTTGCTTTGAACTTCACCAAAAGGCCTCCTTATATCAATGGAGATATATTCCTTACTTATAAACCCATGATCATTCCCTAAATTAGCCAATGTGGTACCCCTCCTAACAATCCTCCCCTCGTACAAAGTACATTATAGAGTCTCCCCCAAGGCATATGGAGTCTCAAACAACCTTCCCTTAATCGAGGTCCGACTCCTTCTTTGGAGATGAGTACACACCCTTTGTTCGACATTTGAGTCATTTTTTACTACACCTTCGAGGCTCAGAACTTCTTTGTCGACATTTGAGGATTCTATTGACATTGTTAAGTTAAAGGCATGACTTTGATACCATGCTAGGAATCACGACTCTCCACCATGATATAATATTGTCTACTTTGAGCATAATATCTCATGGCTTTGCTTTGCGCTTCCCCAAAAAGCCTCATATCAATGGAGATGTCTTCTTTACTTATAAACCCATGATCATTCTATAAATTAGCCTACGTGGGACTCCTTCCCAACACATAAGAAGTTCCTTTTGTTCTCATCTTTCCAACTTTCTGAAATTTATCTAATTTCTACCTATTCTGTGGAACATTTTAGGTTGGTGTATTGTCTGCTTGCAGCCATACTGGCTTAGTAGATAAAGGCATGGAATATTTTAATTCAATGCATCAGAACTATGGTATAACAGCAAATTCAAAACACTACACTTGCATGATTGATCTACTTGGTCGAGCGGGTCGGCTGGATGAGGCTCTGAATTTAATGAAGAACATGCCCTTCAACCCAGATGCAGCAACTTGGGGTGCTTTACTCAGTGCAAGCCGAATTTATGGCAACACAGAATTAGGGGAGAAGGCTGCTGAGATAGTTTTTAAGATGGAGCCTGATAATTCAGGAATGTATGTTCTTCTCTCAAATTTATATGCAGCTTCAGGGAGATGGAGTGAGGTTAGGGAGATGAGAATGAAAATGAGAGACAAAGGAGTGAAGAAAGTGCCTGGATATAGTTGGGTTGAAGTACAAAGCAAGATTCATATATTCAGTGTTGGAGATTGTTCACACCCAGAAACAGATAGGATATATGCTTATTTGGAAGAGTTGGATCTAGAATTGAAGAAAGATGGGTATGTTTCTTCTACTAAATTGGTGTTACATGATGTGGAAGAGGAGGAGAAGGAAAACATGCTCAAGTATCATAGTGAAAAATTAGCTGTTGCATTTGGTATTCTGTCTATACCACCTGGGAGACCAATCCGAGTGATTAAAAACTTGCGGGTGTGTGAAGATTGTCACAATGCCATTAAACACATATCCAAGATTGCTAAAAGACGGATAATCTTGAGGGATTCTAATCGCTTTCACCACTTCAGTGAAGGTACATGTTCTTGTGGAGATTATTGGTGAAATTTCTTAGCAAATCCTTTTTGCCAATATGGTTATTCAACTAAGATAATTAAGAATTGAAGATCAGCAAATGATTAAACTGTGAACAATCTGGAAGGGCTTCAAAAGTTGGATGAACTTGGATCAGAGTTTTTTTGAAGATGCCTCAGGATGAGATTATTGCATGTCTTAAATACTTGTTCCACAAAGAAATATTGATACTGGTCATTGATATCGAATGCAGTGTCATGAGATCATTTTCAGAAATATTAGTGTAAAAAAACCATATTAGTTGGAGTTAAAATTACTGGAGAAGAAGGTTAGTGAATATTACGGAGAAAAGGACAACTGCTGTAATGGTATCACATTATGATACTGATACTGATACTGCTGCTATCGGAAGATACAACTTCTACTAGATTGTGCAGTACTTAGGATATTGGAGATTGTGTTCTACTAGATTGTGCAGTAATTAGGATATTGGAGATTGCGTTCTTTGCCGCGGACTCCACGACTTGGGTGGCTTGGGTACGTATGTAACGGACATGCGGCTATGGGCAATACACCTTAGACAAGCATTACTCTGGCACCTTACACCTCAACCCGCGTCGATAAACCAAAAAAACCAAAAAAGACTAGTTTTACTGGGAGGTTGTGAATTTCTTCAGCAATTATATTGGGGAACTACCTTGCGCCTACACTGCTCAACCTTATCTCGTTAGCAGAACTCAGAATTTGTTTTGAGAAGGGGATGGGGTTGCACATTACTTGGAATTAGTAATGCTTTTGGCGTGCCAAGTCTTCTGTAGGTTAATTTGATGTTCATTAAGGATTGTCTAACTGCATCATTTATTGATCTCATTTCTACAATTCTTTTGGCGTTGATTTGATGTTCATCAATGAATGACTGATTAAAGCAGAATACTTTGGTGAAGTTTCAATGATCGACTGATTACAAAGCTTATGTGTTCTTTTTCTTAAGAAAAAAAAGAAAAAAAGTGGTCATTTTTATCGAATTGAATATTTGAACGTAGCTAAAAGATTTCTGTCAATCAAACTTATGAATGAAGATACAATATTCATTTTCATCAGAGTTACAAGCCCGAGAAATAAAGGCAAGAGCCAAACAAGGATTTGTGATAGATACATAAATCCAACATGCCAGTTTGTTCTCCATCGTGGAATTCATGCTACAAGGGGTAGCAAGCAACCTGAAAGGCCCTTCAAAATACAAATAAATCAAAATTACATGGAACCATTTTTTTCTGTTCGTAGTGCAAAAAATTACACAGTAAGTTGGGCATGAAACCTAATGTTAGCATATACCTGATTTTTAAAGAAACTTCGCTACACTTTGCCTAATGTAGATGCATAGCCAACATAATCTTTGGGAAAAAATACACAAAACGAGCAGCCCCGCCGCCCTCTGTCATTCTCTCAAGGAAAATACAAGGGGTATGAAATATCAAGTATGCAAGGCCGAAACCTTCTGAGACAACCCGTCAATTGCCTCGTCGTTAACCTCCGTAATCGGTTCCTCCTGCCAATCAATGAAAACACGCATCAAAATTTGTAATGCTTTTTCCCTTTTCTTCTAAGAGAGAGGAGTCCCTCACGACTGATGAAACAAAATCATAAAGAACACAACACAGAACAAAGTCTATTATACCTCTAGTTCCTTTTTTGGTTTGACACCTATACATTTAGAGGCACTGATGCTGGCACTCTTCAACAAGCTACGAGCACTGTAATTTGGCTTGCTTTGTCCATTTTGTTCGTTACTGTTTGCATTTTCCGAACCATCACCTTGCTGCGACCTTGGGGGACTCTGAAGAGTTGAAGCAACATATACACCATTTCTTCCTTCTAAATCCTCGTGCTGTGCAGCCTCATCTTTGGGTGCACAAACCCTTTCCCTGTAAAAATGTAACACATGACACAATCATAACAGGACCAAAAAGATAGTAGCATGGATACATCCATACCAATTAAGAGATGTGAGGTTTTGTTTTCAAAAGAAGAAGATAAATATGTTTAATCTTACCTAGGCAATGAAGCATGCTGTCTTTGAAGTGGAGAACTTCTTTCACCCTTACCATAATGTTCCTCCAGATGCGCAAACTGGCGTTTGAAACGATCGACACCACTGAATATACGAAGGGAAAAAAGGGTCGTTAAAGAATGATAAGTCTTCACACATATTACAACTAATTCCCATGAAAATGGATTTTCACCTTGGGTACATGAAACTAGTTTGTTCTCCACTGCGGAGATATTCTTGCAGCATCTGAGGATGATACTCCAAGATCTGTTTATGTCAAACAAAAAGAAAAATGAAGTTAACGCGATAACTGGTTGAAGCATCGAGCATTTAGAATTGAGTGCACACCTCTCGATAAATTAATTCTCTAACATCATCTTTTGTCAACTTTCTTCTCTCAAATTCAAATTCAAGTTTTGAAATCGGTTGAGTTGATGGTTCGCGATCCACGTTCGCCAAACCATGAAAGTAAGGATCCGCTAATGCCTGGATACATCATCGAAAACATCATTAAAAATGAGTCACTTTATATGAAGAATAGACCTGGTAATCTTCAACTTTACTAACCTCTTCAGCTGTAGGACGGTCTTTGGGATCAAATGCAAGCAGGCGTTGAAGCAAGCAGAGAGCCAAGGGATCGGCATTGGGGAACTTTTGTGTGAGAGGAACAGGCTGCTTTCTCCTCATGTTACTAAGGTATCTTCTTGCCTTTTCATTTCGAATCTGTAAATATAATGGAAATACTTCTATGAGTAACATTCTAAAACGCATTCTCAAAAAGAGTTAAATTCTTCATGTTCTCTAATGTTTGGTGAACTTCTGAGCTGTTACTTTTATCATTACAGTTCATGGTTTTCAGAACTAAATTCAAGATAGAAAGTTGAAAAATTACAAAACCTTAAAAAACAAAGAAAGCAGAAAATGAAAATATGAGAACATTGAGATCTTATAGCATACCCTAGCAATGGACTCAGCCGAAGGCGTGCCAAGCACATCAGTCATCAGATCCAATTGGTGCACCACATTTTTCCCAGGAAACAGTGGCTTTCCAGTGAGCATTTCCGCAAATATGCATCCAATGCTCCAAATATCGATTGCAGGAGTGTACTGAAAAGGACCATAAAATTTGTTATGGCTTTGCTTATGCACCATATAGCTATACCAATTAAATCCCAATATCCTATCCAAATTACCCAAGGGACAATATTAGGCAACGACCAAATATTTCGTCCAACAATCCTCAGAAAACAGATACCCCTCTCCCTTCCAGCAAAACAAGCACACCCAAGAGAACCATAAAAGTCAGTAGCTGTTTAGAGTGAAGAGAATTGTTCATGCATCACGGTCAATTCTGAGTTTAAGAACATCAGATGGTCATATCACCCAACCTGCTCAACCCCAAGTATAAAGTAATCAGAGAGCAAAACAACTTACTTTTGAGAAAAAAGAGCCACAAAGTTCAGGAGCACGATACCACCGGGTCGCAACATAGTCCTTTAGAAAGAAGAAGATTAATCAGCAAAAATATGGCAAGCCTGACTCTTGGAAGACCAAGGAAATGGAAAATAACAAGAAAAAAAATTGAAGGAAAAAGAAAAGAAAGAGATCCCTCCATCAATCTTACAGTCCAGAAAATAGCAGATGGAGCATCGTTAAACGACACACGAGCAAGTCCAAAATCACATATTTTCAGTTTGCAGTCGGCATTAGCTAAAATGTTTTTGGGCTTTAAATCACGATGAAATACATTTGCTGGGAAAAGAAAAGGAAAAGTTATCAGTTAATTGGAAAAACAACAAAGAAGTTCATAGCAAATACTGGGAGACCAGCAACCTGTATGTATATATTTCAGACCACGAAGAAGCTGGTACAAGAAAAATTGATGGTGCTCAGGAGTGAGATCATCGTTGGCCTTGATTACTTGGTGGAGGTCAGATTCCATCAATTCAAAAACAACATAAATATCTCTGAATTCTCTCCGTGAAGGAGGAAGCATAATGTGCTTTATTTCTACTATATCTGGATGTCGAAGCAGCCGTAGGAGTTTAATTTCTCTTAATATTCTTGTGGCATCAGAAACATGCTCAAAAACATCATTAATTTTCTTGATTGCGACCTTCTCATCAGTATGTGTATCAATGGCAGAACCGACAACCCCGTAGCTTCCTTTACCAATTATTTCTTGAACCTGATATCTGCTGGCTTCTCCATACTCTGTGAAAAATTCTGTTTCCAATCCACCCTATAACAACATTCACAACGTGTTATAGGCAAAGCAAATATAGCAAAGTCAAAAGATTTTATACGAAGCTTATTGCTTCACATATGAAATGCTAAAATGTTAGAGAAAGAACTCGAGGATAAAGTTGCTCCAAGTCTCACAATTTCCAAGGTCCCAAATATAATAACAACTCCACAGTTCATTAGTGTGAGATCCGACATCGGTTAGGGAGGACAACAAAACATTATTTATAAGGGTGTGGAAACCTCTCTAGTAGACACGTTTTAAAAACCATGAGGAGAAGCCCGAAAGGGAAAGTCCAAAGAGGACAATATCTGTTAGCGGTAGGCTTGGGAAAGCCTAAAGAGGACAATATCTGTTAGCGGTAGGCTTGGGAAAGCCTAAAGAGGACAATATCTGTTAGCGGTAGGCTTGGGCTACTACAAGAATCCCTTAGAAGAAGTCCATTTCCTTACACCAGAATTATAAGAAATTGCTTTTCTAAGATGAAACAAAGATCTTTAGAAAAATATTGATTGAGAAAGAAAACATGGGCAAGGGAGTGTGGGACTCAAACGAGTCAAAGGGCTTATCCCTTAAAATATGGAAAGACAGCAGAAGGATACAAGAAGCAAGGACAGCTCAGTTGAAAACAAAGCAAAATACAAGACAACAGTGATGGGGACTTCAAATAATCCCAAGAACCCAGTTCAGATTTTAGACACCACAAACCATTTCTCGCTTCTTGCAAGAAGAAAGTTTCAATTGCGAAAGGTGGGGCACTTGCTTTGTTGGACAAGGTTCCTAATTTTTCAAATGCTGAAGAATCGTCTTCTTAAATTCAACAGTTCCACAATGTCAACTGTTGCCCTGCAGCCAATCAAGGCGATGGAATAGGAAAGGAAAGCCACGATTTCAACAAACAAAACCCTACGTCAAGAAAAAGAAACGAAAGGACAGTTTGCCGGAAGACAACGCTTCAAACAACAATTATTTCTCATTGCTCAATCTTTCCGGCATGTAAAACAAATCTCATGAATCCCCCCCGATAACGAAATGAACATACCAACAAAACATAAAGATCAAACAAGAAAAAGAACGGGGAAAATCAAATCCATTCATAATCTGAAGCAATTTCATATAGAAACATAGAAACAAAGACAGAGAGAGAAGAATCAAGGCAAACACAGATCTCCAGATCGAGAAAAAAGAAGCAGCAAGAAATACCTTCTTGTGGGAATCCATTAAAGCGGGAAGAGGAGGAGGAGGAGCTCTGAAATGATTGGTCCGCTTAGGAACTTTGATGAGCTTCAAGGCAGAGTAATCAAGGTCGTCGACACCATCGTCCTCCTCCTCAGTTAATCGCTTAAGAATGCCTTCTCCTCCGGGATGGGGTTGCTTCCGTAAACGTTTGCGTTTGGGGGGAAGAGTGGTCGATTGGGCGCGTAAATCGCTACTCAACAATTGGTTACCATTTTCGCCATTATCCACATAATCGAGCTTATTATTATATGGGTAATTGAGATTAGAATCAGAATCAGAATTACGTCCTAAATTAGAAGAAGAAGAGGAGGAGGAGGAGGAAGAGGAAGTAATGCGACGTTGAAACCAGCGACGAACACCATCTACGAGAGTTCCACTCCCCATAAAAAGAAGGAGAAGAGGATCAAAGAAACCGGGTTTGATTGAAATTACAGCCACTCGATTGAAGCTCCAGCATTGCAACGCCACGCTCCACGCTACAAAAATGCTTGATCTCTCTAAGATCTCGCTGGCTCTGCCATCTATGCAATTTCCATTTCCATTTCTAAAAATTCATCCGATTCCTTTGCTTCTTTGCCTTTATTCAATTATGATGGCTGTGGCCAAATCTCTGTGCAACTTGTACATCTCCACTCTCAATCCATACTCTTTTCTCAATTCTTTTTCGTCATTTTGTGAGGAATATCTTTTATTATTATTATTATTATTTTATTCTTCTAAATTCTGAAAATCAAATTCTCCGTTTTAACCCTTACAAATAGTTCATATTACTACTCATGATTTTCGTATTTTGTATGTTTTATTGTCACGTGACTATTTACATTGGAACTTAAGAAATTAAAAATAAGAGATAAAATAGATTGGACTGAAATAATTTTAATTTTAATTTTTTTTATTTTTTTTGCTAACTCAAATATAATTTAACCCATAAGACACGAAAATATTCTTTATAAGTTGAAAGTTCCAACCTCTAGCTCATATTTGTAATATTATATTCTATATTTGTAAATGGTTTTTTTTAAGTAAAATTAATATACACTACCATATTTCTAATTTGAGAAATGTAAATAAAATATTAAAAAATAATGAAAAATAGTTATTATATTAGAATAAATATTTAATAAGTATTTAATTCAATCAACTTAGATAGAAGATTTAAATATTTAACTTTTGGTTACGGTGAAGTTAAACCAAAAGTTAAACTGACTTAATAATATAATGTCTTAACCAATTGAGTTACGGTGAAGTTAGTAGTAAAAACTAAACTAAAACGAAAAATTAATTTGATACAATTCGGTTCACATTTTAGGGTTTTTATAGTTCATATTTGACATTTCACACGCACGATGTAATTTATTCAATTAAATAATTTTCGTCTCGGATAAAAAGAAACCCTTTGATTAAAAAGATTTGGGTTTTAAGCAGGAAAATTATGGGTTGGAAGAATTCTATAAAAATGATGAATTGATCGATTAGATAATGATAGGAGGAGGTTGTAAGACTTTTAACATAATATTTTAATTATAAAAAAATATTAAATATCTAATGAACATGATATGACATGCCTCATTATAAAGACTTTGCCTGTACATACAACCTCCTTCCCACCTGTGCTAATCTAATTTATCAATTAAACATCATAATTCACATGCCCCACACTTAATTAGTCATAATCACTCCTTTTCTATTTAATTAGATTAACAAAGACAGCTAAAATAAGATTAAAGAAAGACGAGCATGACATTCAATAAGAGTATCATTTTAGCTATTTTACATCCATAGTAAACAAAGAAATACAATTGAAAAAAAAGAAGATGTATATCAATAGTATATCTTATGAATGAGAGGCTTCAATATGTTTGTGGTATCAAGATATTAGATTTTTAAAAAGAAAAATCACATGTTTAAAGAGGCATTGATGTTGTCCAAAGAAATGACAGCACCAGACAGTGTCTCTGTGTCTACTTGAGAACGCGACATGAGAATATAAAGTACCCATAAGTGAAGGCATACAAGGTAAACTACTGACCATAATTTAGCTGCCGGATTTCTCCTTATAAACACCATGCCTGCTACATATATTGCATCCAGCTGCCGAATCAAGGATCCTAGGTGTTTCTTGCCCGAGTGGATCTTGTCCTCTAACATTGGTCTCAGTTTTGAACCTGAAAGTTCCCATTTTCCGGACTCCAAGTCCCTCGATAAGGTGCTCGAAATGTTGTTTGTATTCACCATGAATTTGTTTTCTTCTAGCTGCCTCATCACAGCCTGCAAGGCGCAAAAAGGATATTGACTACATGTTTAAGTTAACTAATGTTTTTTAGCCGATGTTAGAATGGCTTTAGAATGCCAAAGTACCTCAGTTCTGAAGAGAAGGGTTGCTTTCTCTGAAGACAGTGCCTCCACCTAATTCAAAAATCAAATTCCAACAGTGAGTTCTTAACACATGGGACCTCTTCCTGTTTAGAATGACAGGGTTTTGATGTAGGACAATAGATGAGAAGAAGAATGCAAGAGACCTCTAATGATTAACGAATATACATATGATCTCTACAAATAAGGATTAACAGTGATTCTTAAGCTGCCAACAAACAGCATAGTAGAGTCTTATTAAGAAACCTCTAACGAATATTAAAGAATAGACCAACATTATGATGAGAGTCGCTTCATTACAAAATGCAATATTCTGCAGATGTTTCCATAATGTGAGATCAGACATTAATTAATTGATCGTTCTAAATATCTGACTAAAATCTCTATCTTTTTCCATGGAGATGCAAAACATGGCTGAGTCAACAAATTTAATGTAGAGGAGAAAAATTATAAGCTTTGATGGGTATACGAGGACAACAGATTATCAGAAAGCAGAGTCATCAGTCATTTTACCCCAATTTCTTTTAGGTTTAGGAAGAAACGGCCAGGAAATAAAATTGTGCACGTTTTACTCTCATGTGCTTTGACTTTTGCAAGGAATTGTTACCGAGTTCTAGTGACTAGTGGCTTAGTTTCTTACTGTTAGGCGTTACATTCAACTTTCTACCTTTGCGGTAAACCTCAATAGTTAGGACTACACAACTATCCCGTCACTCTACATAGCGGTGCCAAAAGCCCCCCTTTCTTAGGCTTCTAAAGCCAAGTTCTCCGCTCCAGCAAGTTCAATTATTTACAAAGGTAGGGTGTAACGTGAGTTGTCACACAAATTAGCAGATGTGAAGTACATATTGTAACTCCATGCCAACAACCTAAATGTTAAATAATCTTTTCAAACAAGGCCAGAATCACTTCAAAACTCATTTCCATTCCCTATCTATTTAGAACTGACTGTGGACGTAGTTAGCGCTTCCTACTACACAGCCGATATGTTGGCAAATATAAAGATTGCATCATATGAAACACTGCTGAATCTTGGGGAGTCAAGTCAGAAAGGAATAAAAATACAGTTCAGCTGAAGAATCTTGGACCAGTTGGGATAGTTCAGTCCAATAGGAAGAATAGGGTACTATTAAGTGTACTCTCGAATTAATGTAGCTTTTAAAATAATTACTTTCTGTTGTGCTTTTACAAAAAACGGTTATCATATTAATCAGTTTAATCAAACGCTCAAAATGGTTGGAGTTGCTTCAAAATCACTTTCATGCCTTTCAAAATATTCTATGGGGGAGTTAGAATGGCCAAACTTCAAGCAGAAATAACAATTTTGTGAAAATAAGAGCGGCAGATAGCTCCATATCATGCAATAATGGGTTCCTTGAAGACATGAGTCATGCACACCATTTATGGCCACATTTAGAATTGTCCCATCTAACATACATAGCAATATGATGAAAAGAAATGTTCCAGAATTAGTCGTATCATGAAAATAAAAACAATGTTTTTGGAAATTTTTTTTGAACAAAGGGCTATGGCTGATGGTCTTTTATGATCATTTTCAATTAATGCCACCTAACGCAGTCATTGTATGTTCAGTGTTCTTGATATCTAGATTTCCAAGTTAAGTATGTATATATCTTAATATAAACCAACGCTTCAGTCATGCGATATAAACTTCAAGGAAGATGTGAAAAAAATGTTGTTCAAATTATTATAAGATGTTGCAATTCATGCCACATTAAAGAAGAATCAAGTTCCATTTGGGTGCTTTAATCAAGTTTCATTTGGGTGGAAGATAATCTAGAGTTATTGTATTTCATTAATGTATTTTAAGACTCTTTATTTATTTTAAGGTTACGTTTACATTGGGCTAATTATAGTCATAAAGTATAAAAGTTACTAACTCCTGAAATGTCTCTTGGAAGGTTTCTCAAAGTGTTCTTGCCTTGAGATATTTGATCAACAAGGTATCCGAATTTTATTTTTCCTTGGAGTGATTCCTTATCATTCGAGCTAAGTTTCTTTGCAATTCTATATAGTTTAGGTTGCATGTTTAGACTCATTCAAGCTTGACATAATCGATTTTCTTGTGGAGTGATTCGAATCTCAAACAAATGTTCTTGCCTTGAAATATTCGATCAACAATGTAATCCGAATCTTATTTCCCTTGTATTGATTCCTTATCATATTTTATGTTTCCTTATCATATCTTTTGTCGGTGATGTCAATATATTTTAAAAAATCTTTCATACCAAGTAGAGTTTCTACTGTAGAGAGATGGGGATAACATGGAACTCAATTCGTATAACTGGAAAACTGTAATTTATAATTTAAATGGAGAAACAATGGAAGACAGACCTGAGCTTGCTTCTGAATTAAATGGTCAGTCATCTGGCCAAGCCTTTTCTTGAGTTCAATTTCAACTTCAGTTGGTTCCTCCATCTCTCTTCTCATCAACTCTATGTTTTCTTCCAACTTCTCCCCCTGTAATTCACAAATAAGACAATAAGATTATTATTATGGAAAACTATTTTCTTTCCAATGCCTCAAGATACACATTTATACCTTCTCCTGCAGTTGGAGGACTTTATCAGTGATGAGAGAGAGCTCTGCCTCAAGAATCTCCAATTCAAATTCAATGCCTTTAAAAGGCAACTGCAACATTTGCAGTACAAGCTATCAGAAAAGGCAAATTACAAGAAAATGTTACAAAGACCACTGGTACATTCACAAGTAAATAAATTCTTACTGATTTTGTCGATGTTCCAGCTTGATGAGAGCTTGCAATCCTCCTCCTCAGTTCTACAACAAAGAAAGGTCTTTCAAGAACTATTAACATAAAACACTTACAATATTGACCATACCAATATTTCTATGATAATCAAAATTCTATACAAACATGCCCATGTGGATACTCAAGTCACATGCCAACTTCCATGTGGAGTTGGCATCAAAAAGACCGATAATTGCTGGAAACAATTTGAAGTCAAGGTTCATCAAGGACTCAAAATTAGCATCCATCTCTCAGGGCTTAATAATTCATGCAACAAGCTCTTTCTTCACAAAATCTGAAGAGGGTTTGTTCTCACATCAATAGTAAGACCAACCAGTTGGTCAGGAAGAAAAGTTGTACCTTCGTGAGTTGTTTCTTTCAGTTCAATCTGCTGTCGAAGTCCTGCAACCCGATTACCCTGATACAAGAAGATGAAACATAAAGCTTCAATGTTCTAATCCGCTAATTATTTGAAAGGTAAACTAGAGGCAAAAATATTGTATTTGCTCATAAGTATAAAGAAATGTTACAAAGTTCAAGCAAGAAAGGTAGACGTGGCTATTAAACATGAAATTGCAGAACAACTCTTCTGTAGTAGAATTTAGAAATACAAATCATAAGAATGTTGTTTTGCAGTCATCATTAGTCTTGAATGAGAAAAGGCCAAAAAGGGAAGTGTGCTCCCTGCCACGCTACTCTTACCGGAACGGTAACTGTGTAACTAACAACAATACCAGTTTGTGCATTAGTGGTCCAAGTGCAGTAGCCAGAAGTGGTTCAAAGATAAATAGAGCAAAACCTATGTTATTAAAACATTTTAATTGGATCACTTGGCACAATGTACTTCTTTAATTTTTTTAAAAAAAATCACCAAAGTAACCTCAAATCTGGGTACAAAGGCACAAAAATCAATCAAGATTCAATAGTGGCAAACACCATTGACTTGTAAATGCATTAACAATGACTTTTAATACTTCACATATGGAAGTTATTGATTGTAGCCTTTTTTCATCGATCTGTATATTGGTAAATAAATTAATTGAATAGTAATCAACTATTTTATACGCTAGATCATTATAAGAAATACAGCAAGTAGGATATTTTGATTTGGCTGTTAGATAAGGAGAGCCTACATATCTCAATTTTAATTGAAGGGTTACACGATAGGCTAGAGAACTTCAAATGAGATTCATGGCAAAAAGGCCTAACAAAAACGAAACTTAACATTTCTTCCAACACATAAATACAACCATATGCCCCTACCAACCCTCATCATACCTCTAACTCAAGATTCCATTGTACAGAAGCAAGGGTTCTCGCAAGATCAGCATTTTCAGTCTGCAAATCAGATATTACTTTAGTAATGATAAGAAAAAATGCTCTCGGATTATTCTTCAAAAAGGTGAAATATTTATTGCCAAAAACACTAGAAAAACCACATGGACAAAATGAACTTGGAAAACAGACATCTTTTATGGGTTGATTACCTCAAGCTTGGCCATTATTGCAAGGGCTTCTCTACGGGTTTCATTGTGCTTCTGCTTCTCAAGCTCAACAGCCTCCATTGTTTCCATCATAGATGTCTGCAGCTCTGAAGCCTGAATTTTAAAATTATATGAATATGCATTAAAAAATAAAATCGGCATTCCACGAGCCAGTATAGAGTACAAAATATTAAAAATGTATCTAACAGAGATTAAAAGCCTCAAGAAAGCTGCCTCATAAATGGGTAGCCTTTTCTACTAACTGCCTGTATGGCGGAAGGTAGGCAAAGAAACCAGAGGCCAATTTTTATTTAAAAGAAAAACCCTTTCGTAGCATCCTGGCTTTTTTCTTTTTTTTTTCCTTTGTTGGGTATAATAGAACTGTAATTTCAAAATTCACATTCAGCAGAATAACACACAAAATTGATGATCAAAATCATGCTAAAATTGACAATTTGAAACTACACAATTTACCTCTTCTGCTTGCTTTCTTGCTCGATCCTCCAGTATTTTTTCCAGGCTCTGCTTCTCACCCTCCAGTCTAGCAACCAAGTCTTCCTGTTCTTTGATAGCCTCCAAGGCTTTGGCAGCTGCTTTCTCAGCCAGAATTTTCTGCCTCCTCCTCCTTTTTTCTTCCCTCTCACGTTCAATTTCAGAATCAGAAGCTGAACCTGAGTCTGAATCTGAACCAGAACTCCCATCACTAGTTGAAGATCCTGTCCATTCTTTTCTTACATCATCAGATATAGAACTACGAGAAACTTCATCTGATTTATGCTTTCCAGAAACACCACTTCCTTGATGATTTTGCACAGCTTTCACAATGATTTTTGTATCAGATATCCTGTCAGCCTGACCTGTATCCGGCATTGTTTCTGAGGAATGACCATTTCGTATTGCTAGCACAGAATCCTTCAAAGAAAAACCCTTAGAATCAAAATTCCCACCACATTCTTTTTTCTCCACACTTTTTGCTTCAACTAAAATATTGTCACCAGCCTCTTTTTTATCTAGTTCTCGACCTTCAGAATGCATAATATTTTGGTCACTCTTCAGATCAACTCTTGTATCAGTCCTCAATGGAACTGAAACATTAGATTCTTCCACATCACTTGCCTTCCTATTTAATCTTTTGGTTTCCCCAACGGACTTGTTACTTATAGTGTTGTTCTGAGTTCTCTTGAAATCCATCGCCGACACAGTTGAACCTGCATTACTTGGTTTGCGACCGTCTCTCTTTGCACCACGAATTGAGGATGCACCATTACTGCGGGCTGCAGCCGAAGTTGAAGGTTGATTTGGTGTACCGAGCAGTTCAGTCCAGTCACTGTCCGTAAGTGTGGATGGTTTTGACGATGGCGAGGATTTTGGTGAGGCAGAAATCACATTATCCTGGTTTCTGCTTACATTCAAACTTAGATCACTACGAAATTTGCCATGATAATCTTTATCATCTTGGTTCTTCTTCTTGAGCTGATCCTTCAAAGGCAAAATATCTCCAGTTTTGCCAGTGGCTTCCAAATTACCCACAGATGGAGGCCTTTCGTCCTTCTTAAGCGACTCTGCCGCTTGCTGATCGATCTAAATCGTCCATTTCACACAAAAATAAAGAAAAATAACCTCAATAAACGAAACAAATCAAAACACACATTCACAAACAGACCAATTACACTGGCAATACAATAATGCGCAGCTCGATTCTCGAAAACCCAAAACACACACCTCATTTCGGATCTACAAATTTCGAAATAACGCGCAAGAAAGAGATAATCGAATTCCCACACAACCTCCCAGCCTAACTCTCAGAAATCAAACCATAATAAGAACAAAAAAAAAAAAAAAAAAAGAAAAACGGA